TTAAGTGATAGGAAACACTTGAGTCAGGAAATGGAAGAGCCTTGGCTGTCCTGGAGGTCAAACCAGATGGTCTGACAGATACTTCTAGCTGGGCATTGTATGCCACTGAGCCTGGAGAGTGCCTATCTAATAAAAATAAAATATTGCTGTACAGTTGGCTTTTCTGGGAAAGTAGAATTATCAGGATCTATCATTGGTTTCACTGTTTTCATCAGATATTTTTTGATCTCGCTTTTTTGGATGGTGTTACTGTTATTGCTGTTTTTATTGCTTGTAGTACACTTCTGGGCAGACAGAAATCCTGCTTCGTATGGAGTCTGCAGCCATGCAGCTGTCAGAAAAACTGTGTTAATTTGAAGGGAGTGCATGTGTAGAAGAAACGAATGCAACTCAAGCAGGGTTTTCAGTTTCAAGTCAGGTTGGAAAAACAAAGAGGTCATGATGTGAGGAGAGGAAGAAGGTTTTGGGTTTACAGAGTGTGGGTGATAAAAACTTGTTGCAGTGACATTTCTAATCATTAGATCTGTTGTGAATTAGTTTCGAAAAACTTTGTAGAAGCGAGTTTCCAGAGTAGGTGAGGAATTTAAAAGGCATTCAGCACTGCAGCTTGTATGGCAATTGTCTTTTCCATTTATGCTGGGAGACAGAGCAGTAATACACCATATATTGTTTTCTATTATGTTAAATATCAAGGGGTGCTTTTTAACTAAAAACTCTTGAACTGTGAGACATCTGAAGCAGAAAGCTAGCATTCAGCTAGATGAGAATAGTTGGATGTGCCCGACAAATAGGGGAAGAATGGGGATGGACGAGATAGCACCAGTGCAGGTCTGTAAGCTATGATGTCCCAAGAGTGGGGTTTGCAAGAGCTACCAGCCTCAACTTGGCCCATCACAGCCTAACATCAAAACAAGAATTCATCTTCACGTAATACCGTTTGCATTCATCAGCTTCTCACCATTGTGAACTGCAACATTTCCCAGCATCTGAATTTCTACTGTCTAGCTTAACCTCTAATTTTGAAAGGAGAAATAAAGAAATGCTTGCAAAGATCCTGGTCCCTGAACGAAATAGTACCGAAGGCTTTGCCTTCTATTTTCAGTGCTATCACTTGTTACAGTAGGTGCTATTGCCCAACATTGTAATGTTCTCCCTATTCGTATGAATTTAGGAGGAAAGTGTAATATTGCTGTTGTGGATTGTGCAACACATCTGCAAACGCTTCTTCTCAACGGTTCTGTGCTGAATGCTTCCATCCAGGTCATTGTCCAAAACGTCATCAGAACTTCCCCTGATGACAGCGGGTCAGTCCATGAGGACAACTGAAACAAGACCTGCGTGGGGCTTCAGTTCCCTGTCAAGCACTGCTAAATGGTGCTGAGATAGGAAATACCCTCTGACGTTCACCATTTTATTGTATATCTCACATTATTTAGAGGTTTGCTTTCAAAAAATACTTTGAAGGGTTATGTGAAGACGTCAGCTTTTAGTTTTAAAAGTGAATTTTTTAGCATTTATGTTTATAGATGCAGGAGAATCCCTGGAGAATTAAAAAAAAAACAACAAACCAACAAAACAGGACTAACTAAAAGAACAGTGTGTTTGTTATTTTTGAGCTGATCTCATGATTTTTGGTTTTCCTGATTCATGGTTCATGATTCATTATTCTGTCATGTTGATGGTAGTAGGGGTGTCATGTAATGGAACTGAACAGTCCCTCCACTGTTTCTCCTTCTGCCATTTTAAAGCACACAACTCCTTCATTACTGGTTGCTGGGACTAATCACACAAATAAATTACAGTTTTACAGGGAAAGAGGCCAACAGAAATGCTGAGTGCAGCTATGTTATTCTCTGTGTTCTGAGCCTGCCTGTAATGTGGCTACAGTGTTTAGGGAAGATTTCTTTTTGATGTGAAAACTGCAGGCTGAAAAAGGAAGAAATTTAATTCTGGGCAGTCTCCAGCTTCTGCTCTCACTTATTTGTTCCTGATTTATTTTTTTTTTTTGGTGAGGATAAGGAAACAACAAGCCTGGATTGTGATGTGAATTTGAAAAACAGAACTGGTACAGTTTTGCTTGCCTAACCTCTGCAGTGAGAGGAGCCTTGTTTCCAGAGTCTGGAACATATTTCAGATGCATCAGAGGAGGTAACATAAGGGTATTGCTTCCAAATACCACTTGAATGATGTCCCAAGTTCCTCTATCACCGGCTTCCAGTCCGAATAAAAACTAAACATGAATAACAGTAGTGGATACCACATCTCCTTCAAACCCCAAATGCAAGACATGTTTCCTGAATGCGGATGTTATCAAAAAAAGCAAACTGAGGAAGTGGCCATTACCATGGAAAAAAATAGAAGAAAAAACCAGAATAAAGAACAGACATAAACTTGTTCTAACTACTGATGCAAAGAAGAGAAAATATCCACAGCTAGAGTAAGGGTCCAAACAAGAACTCTCCTCACCTCACAAACATATTTGGAGAAGTTTTGAGGTTTTCTTTCACTTGTAAAGCTTGAATCATATCTAATGCATACACATGCAGTGCCGTGACATGAAGATTTCCCTGTCCAGGCTTTTAGCTCTCCCTCTGCAGAGAGGACACGTGGGACGCTTCTATCCAGAACATTTTGCCAACATTGTTTGACTCAGTACTTGACCCAAGGGCAGTCTTTCAGTTTGTAGAGGTCTCAGAGACAGGGGAGATTTGCACAGCTTTTAAAAACCCCTGGGAGGAGATGTGTTCAAAATCAAGCATACATGAGGATGTTTTCCTTGGTCCTAGTGAATTTTTGGGTTCTGTATGTCATCTGATCTCAGTATTCTCTTAAAAAAAATAGCCTTTTAATAAGGCAACTTCAGAATTTCCACAGAAACTTTCACTTTAAGAATTTTGGAAACTTTCAGAATTTGGGAAACTGTAGCCCTTTATCTTTTTTATGGGCTTGTTTTGTTTTAAATGAATGCTATTTAGAAGTACTGTATACTTGATAAAACATGCTGAGCACGTTCAGATCTGATGTTGAAGAATATGCTTGCCAGATTAGTGGATAAATATTGCTCAATCTTAGATCTAATTTCTCTGCTATACCAAGTAGGAACTTATTTCCTTGCTCCAAACGAATAGCAAGGAAGCTGCTCTTCTGAGGGCACGCAGACAGTGTTACCCCTTTTCTAGTCTCACCCATCCTAGTTCTGGTGAATGTGCTCTGCTAAAGGCCAGGCAGAAAAGCAACGTTCTCATTCTGTGTCCTGGGGAGACACCCACGCACAGAGATGCTCTCATCAAAGATATTTTTCTTTCTCTCTCATGACCAACTGAGTCAGTGCACCTAGTCAGCAGCTGGCAAATATCGTGCCTTACAAACACAAAATAGGCCACCGCAAATCCCACGTGAGGATAAACCCCATTGCTCGCTTGAGTTCTCATCTAAACTGGGGGCAGAAGTGAGGTCTAAGACCAAGCAGTGTTTGTTTCTTCTTCTTCAGTCCTTCTGCCGTCTTAAAGTGGTCTACTACTGCTCTGCTAGTGCCCTAGGACTGACAATCATAGATTTTGTCTTTGCCTCCCTGCAACTATCTGCAATGCAGTCATTAAGATAATAACTGCTTGTTTTCCAAGTCCCTTCAAAAGGAAGAAAAATTTTTCAGGAAAGTAGTTGCACTGGAAATTCTACATACAGTGAACTAAAAAGACTGTCTCTGCATACAAACAGTTTATAATCCAAAACTCTTTCTAATTATTTTTCAAAACAAATTTCTCCAGTTGTGAGCAGTGGTATCCTATTTAGTGTCAATGTATCTGCTTGTTGGAAATATAAAAAATGTCCTGGGTGTTGGCCAGGGCTGCACAGAGCTTTTCGGGCTCAAAGTTTTGAGACAATTTCAAATTAAGGTTTTGTTGTTTGATTTCTATTTCTTTTTAATTTGTTCCTGGTTTTATGCTTTTTTTCAGACTTGTAGTTATGCTTTGAGCAATTTCAGTGAGAAGTAAGTTAATCAGTTGACTAGATCGGGATCTTTCATACCATGCTTCTAGGGTCTGGGTTCTTTTAGAAGGTGGAAACTAATCTTAACAGTTATTTTAGTAAATTGATGTAAATGTTTGGAAATTAATCATTTTGACCATGTCAGAGCTACTCCAGCATCTGTGTTCTAGGTCAGATCGTATCAGATTTATGCTAATTTATCTGCATTTTCAATAAGCAGTCTTCACGGTTAATCAACGAAGTTGTACCATCTTTTCTTGGTGAGGACATTTTCCCTGCTGGCACAGCTGTAGGAAAGAAACAAAGAATGCAGGATAGAGATCGGTCTGTAGCCTGTTCTCTGATTTTGATGTACTCTGGCTCGGGTTGATCTCCTGCAGCTTGGTTTAGCCTTTTCTTTCTGCTACCTCTGCTCATAGCTCTTCTAAATCCTGCTCCTTGGCTTAGCTATCTTAATGTTTCTAGCCTAAACTTATTTGAACTCAGTATGAACAGTTAATGCCTATTTGGCCTTGTACCAGTATTGTCCTCAGGTCTAAATAGCTTTTCTTCATGGATTTATTTATAAAGATAATTTTTATAAAGATATTTATAAAGACGCTTGCTCTTCATACTTTTTTATCACCGTTAAGGGAATAAAACTCTATTTAGTCTTCTCCGGTAAGATGGGGTCTCCATTCTCTGATGTGTCTCACAACACCTTCTTTGCATCCAGTCCTGTCTGAGTGTTTCTCTTTCCAGCAAAGTTTTCAGAAAGATTTGTGACTTGGTTATAGATATAACACAGACACTTTTCAGCGGTCTTCCAAACTAGCCATGGCAGGGCTGGAGAGAGCCAAATCTGTCCTTCTCCTCTTTGCTTTGACTGTCAGAACTTGTTTCTTATGATTCAGATACCAGTGTTTTACATTCTGCAATGGGGCAGATTTTGCTTCTCATCATTTTTTCCTGCACCAGGGGACCAGGTGTTTTGACAGCACGTGTTGACTGATACTGTCTTTCTTTTCCAGGGTGGTTCAGCTTTTTCTCCAGCATCCATTATTACTAAGAGGAGAGCACAGACCCAAGTAGCAGTCCTGGCTGAAGATGTGGGATGTGCTTCCTCCACCAGTGAGGAAATTGTAGCCTGCCTCCGCCAGTTGCCTGCTCGAGTCCTCAATGATGCACAGACTAAGGTACACCATAGCCAAATGCATGCCTCATACAAGAGATCAAAAAGTTTCCATTGACGTGACAATGTGAGGAAGCTTAAAAAGTAAATCGGGCTGAATCCTTGTGAAAGAGAAACTGGACTGGCTGTGGTGGAGTGATGCTGATGTCCATGACATGCACCTCTGATCTATGACAGCTTGATTCTTCTTTAGACTAAATTCCTTTTATACTGCTTTGGCTATGTCTTCCAAAATGAATCTAAATATAGTTTTTGCCTTCTTTAAGTCCCCTCTCCTCTGCCTCTAGGTGTTACCCTGGAGGAGAATCAAGTGCTTTAGTAACTGCATTTTTGCAGAAAAGGAAGTGGGGAGGGATATCAGTGCTGTCTCTGAAGTGGAAGGCATGCGAAAGCTACAGTATAAACAGTTCTAGAGATGGATCCTTTACCCACAGATTAAAACACCCACTGGCATTTTCTGACCAGGAACAGCATAAAGCCTATCCCTAATTTAAATTAATATTTTTATGACAATAAGACCATAAATTCTCTTGGCCTATTGAGCCTGTCATTTTACCTACTGAGACTGTCAGCAAAAGTATTGTTTGGTGAGTTTGCACTTAAATTAACTGATCACTTGTTCACTTGAAGGCTATCAGCTCAGCTGTCTGAAACATAAGTTAAATGGAAATGACCAGGGTAAACTAATTTAACTGCACTATTACTGCTTTTTTTTTATAGCTCCTAGCTATAAGCGGCCCGTTCCAGTACTGGGGTCCAGTGGTGGATGGAATTTACCTTCGGGAACCTTTAGCTAAAGCCCTGCAGCGCCCTCAACTTCAGAAGGTGGATCTGCTCATTGGAAGTGCTCAGCAAGATGGGCTGATCAGCAGAGCTAAGGCAGTTAAGGTAGGAAGAGACTAATGACTGTTAATGAACGGATAGTATTTCTATTATTATAGTAATGACAGTCATCATATGAGGCCAGGACAGATGCTTTCTGATTTCTACAATTGGTGAATTATACTCCATGCAAATACGCAAAGGCATTGTCCAGCTCCAGCCAGTCCTGTTTAGACTGATTGATGGCATTATTATATTTGTTGATTAACATTATTGGGGGAGGTATGAAAAGGTAAACAATTAGTAGTGATTTAGTATGTATTAATATGCAACAGTATGTTTTACTGTCTATATTGCAATCTCAGTTGTATTTCACAAAGAAGAAAGAAAGCTCATAACTTGGTTATGAGGTTCTTCAGAGTGCAGCAGGTCTAAGTCAGAGGTTTGTTTGGTTTTGGTTTTTATATTTTCCGTCAACATTTTTTCTCTGTTGCCTCTAAGAAGTACATTTTCTTGTAAAGATGAATCTGAATACAGACTAGCTATGATTAAGTATAGCACTAGCCTGGTGTGTGGGCTAAGGCTGCAGGACATAAACTGGTGAAATAAAAAACCAATTGCATCCATGCTGTACTTTGGACATGAATGTCCTCAAAATCTTGAAAGTCTACTGAGAGGGATTTTGTCTTCCTGTGAACCCTTTGGCACTGTCTGTTCTTGACATAGCATATCAACCTCTTCTAGTTCATGTGTCCTTCTCTACGGTGGGAACAATAGCACTTCCTTGTTTAGCACTGCCAAATTAAATTAAATCAAATCACAGAATTATAGAATCATAGAATCATAGACTCATAGAATGTGTTGGGTTGGAAGGGACCTTTAAAGATCATCTACTCCAACCCCCAAATGTTGGGTAAATGTTCCAATGTGTTCAGATATATGCTAAGAAATCAACAGGAGAATATAACACGACAGGGATTATTTTGAGGGTTATATAAGTGAACTGAAGGTCTGTTGCTTTCTGTAACTGTGGATTTCATCTCTTAGAAGGCAGTGAAAGGTCAATCCCAACTTCTCTTTGATGGTAGCCAATAACACACCAATTTACATCAGAATTAATAACAAAATTGCCCCTTTAAAAGAGGGGTTTTTTTTACTCCTCTGAATAAAGTTCATATTGCTTGTTTAGTCTCTATCAGAAGTTTCCTGCTATTATTTCATATTTCTTTCGGAATCAATTGAAAGAGGAAGTCAGAGGAAAGGGACTGTGATGTTGGAGGCCTGCAGATACTGATCCAGACCCTGTGAGAGGAGAGTAAACCTCAGTAACCTCATTACAAATCATGTGATGAAGACTAGGAAGTGAAATTCTTTCCTTTACCACTATTTCCACATGCGACAGTTGTCTGAAAAACTGAAATGGAATTCTGTGATGTATTAGAAATTATGCAAGAAATCATGATGTTAATGAAAGCCACAAGTGCTAAAGTGCTAAAAAGTGCTAAAAGCCAGCACTGTCAGGTCGAAATGAAAAAGAAAAACACCTGTAACTGAGAGCTCAGCAGTAAAATTATGCCTTTCCAAAAAGAAAATCTGGAATATCTTATTTATTTAAAGGCTTGCAGAAATTAAGATTGAAGGGGACTCAAAAAGTCGGTGCAACTCAACACTAAGAAATAGTCATATCTAGCTCAACCTGAGGGATTTGTTTTAAAATCTCCTACTGTTGGAGATCTTCTGATCTCCTTTGGCAAGGGTTTGACTATCTGTACTTAGAAGGATGGTTAGCTTCTTTAATAGCTAATATAATAGTATCTCCTATACTTGGTGCTACTGCTGTAAGTCAGTTTCCATCTCTGTTCCATAAAATTCATAATGTTCATGGTAGGTGGTTATATTTTGTTTTCTCCCTTTTGACTTCCTTAAGCTGTTTTCATATTGTCAGTAAGAACTGATGATTTTTTAAATGCACATTTTCCTCTATTTCTATTTTCCTGCGTCTTCAAGTTTTTAGGCCATGAGGGAATATAACTGTTTTGACCAGTCTGTATTCCTGTCTTTGGATTGTTTTCTTAAAGATGTGCTGCAAAGTTAAAGTTTCCTGTTTTGTTCTGTTTTGATTTTTTTTCCTCATCCACGCAGTTAGTGTATTAATTGCTGGTAAACTGCAATGCTTCCGCTGTCATTGAGCTATTTAAGAATGTGCATTTTCCAGGTCCTCAAGATCATTTCTATGTCATAGCTATGACTGTACATGGTTGCAGTCAAAGTCAGATGATAAAGACTTGAGTAGGCAACAGACATATTTAGCTACAGTGTCAGAAACTTGTGCGGGTGGTGGACCACGCACACAAAGAAGTCCGTGTCCTGTTTCCTCTGTCATATCATAAGGGATCTTTGATCTGTGCTAAATGTCCTCTCTTCACAACAGACCTGGAAGGAGGATTTGAGACAATCCATGCTGTATCACCCTCTTCTACTTTATTCATTTTAAGGGCTCCTTTGAGATAGAACTGACTTGCACCTTTCTGCGAAAATGCAAAGCTGGTTTTACTGATAAAGTAAGGAAAGTTGGAGGGCTTAGCTGGTGGACAAAGCACTGAGCTCAATGGAGAACCAAGGCATAGTTTCTAGTTTGCTTCTGACTACAACCAAGTTATTTAATCTGTTCTAGAAAGGGGATGAAACTTTGCTGGGGTGAAAATCCATCTGTGGATATGCTTCAGCTCCATGGAGAGAAGAACCATGCATGTATTTAAGTAGATAAATGACACAGCTAAAAGGTTCCATGGCAAGTGTATGGAATTTGCGAAGTCCTTCATTTTCATCTCCTTTAGGATGACTGATTTCAGTATACTCAGATGCAAAGAGTGGGACTCAGAAAAATTTAACCCCTCTTGACCTGTTCTACCAGTTCCTGGGAATAGCTGTGCTGGCAAATTCAACCAAGGGCTTGCTCTATTAATCCCAGTCTTGCTCTGTCAATACTGATCCTAAAATGGTGAGAAGACACTTATAGCCATTTGGATGCAAGCAACCTTGACACATGATGCAAATCTTACCACCTTAGACTGGAGCTGCATGCACGTTTTATAAACTTGTAGCAGTTGAGTCTTAGGAGTGAGAGTAAAACCTCTAGACTGCAACCAGACCTGAAGGTGGTAAATCTGGTTGGCACCTTGTTGTTCTGTGGGAGTTTACTGACATTTGGTTGTGTTGGTCGTCTCTGTACTCCCACTGCAACTCTGTGCTTATGCCTGTGAAGACCTTTACTATTAAAAATGAAATTGAAAGCCAGAAGGCACCACTTATGTGCTAGCAAAACATTTATGTTTGAGTTGTTTACAATTAAAGGCTGAGGTCCCTCAGTGATGCTCACAGCAGAGTATTCTGCACATTTGTGCTCAGTGTCTTGCCCATGGAAATGACCATTTTACGGCATTCACTTGAATGCTTATTCATGTGAACTGAGACAGATTTACCACTTCCTGGAGCACTTCATACTCATCCCCAGTGCAGCCATCAGATGGTTGAAAATAAGTGAGAAACAAAGCACAGTTTGTTAAGGGAATGGCAAGCGGTGCCATAATGCACTGTTATGCGGCATATGGAGTGGTTAAGCCTGAACCCGTTAACTGCAATTCCCATGGCAGACCTTCAGGGATATTAGCTTTGAGCAGTCATAGATGAGGGCAGCTGAGCAGAAACCTCTAAAAGTGTTGATTTCAATTCCCGACTGGGCAAAATTTTATTCCTATGCTTTATGTGATGCTCAGGTGGGAGGATCTAATGGTTCCTACTGACATTAAGTATATGGAGTCACTCATGTGTTTGTCTGTATATGCACATAAGTCAGCACAGCCCTGTTTATATCCTCCATATGTTCTGTGCCTATTACAATTCATAAAAAGTTAAAATGCTTTGTCTTTTTCATGTTTCTTGGGCTCTATTTTTTATGTATTGCTTTGTTTTGTGCTATCACGTTAAAGTCAGACGTTTAAATTATATTATATTGTAGCCAAAGTGACACTTGAGACATCGTGTTTCAAATTACGCAATTTTAGTGCTGGTTGGAATGTAAAATGTCAAAATGTCTTACAAATGCCAGTTTCTCATACATATCTGCCTGTTGAGTCCTCTTTCAACTGACAACACATCTCAAGGACCCCACTCTATTATCAATGATTGCTGAGAAAGGTCACCAGAATTTTGAGGGCTTTTGAAGATCACAGAAACCATAGGTGCAGTAAAAACCTACAACTGACCGCACTGAGTCAGATCATAGCCCCATTTAGCACAAAATGCTGTTTTCAGCAGTGGCTAGAGAGGATATTTGTAAGAATAGGGTAAGCAAATCTGATGCTTCTGCTAAACGCTCTCTAAACCTCTAGCACCTTGCAGCTCATGCCCTTCCTAGCCTGAATTGGTCTTTTCATAATTAATAGCCATCCCTAATTAATAATCATGAGCTGATTCTTTTTTTTTAATTCAAAAACTTGTTCATCATTTGTTCTTCACAATTTTGACATCTACAAAACCATGTGGCGAGGAGCTCCTGAGCTTAACTATGTGTTGTGTGGTGATCCATCTCCTCTGTGTTTTTCAGCTGCAGAGTGTATTTGATGCTGGTAGTTGATGAGGTAGTGAAGAATCAGTTTCTAGGATGCATAATCAATTCCCTTAGGTTTCTTCTCTTCTGTCTCTTTTAAGTTATCCATGACAGGTGTAGAATAAGGTAACAAATTCATTAAGGAAGAAAAAAACCAAACCAAATATAGAAAAATGAAAGTGTTGCATGAAAGTTGCTCTGTACAGGTTGCTTTACACACAAGAGATTGGACTCTGCATTGACTCAGGAAAGTGTCTGCTCTTATCCATATCTGCTAGCCACATCCACCAGCTCCAGTCACCAAATGAGGGATTCTTAATTAGACAGCAGCAATGCTTCTGCTGATTAGCAGGGAGCTGAACTGATGTGTGCTGACGCCAATGGGAAGATTGCTTTTGGATTCAGTGAATCTGCAGTCAGGTCTTTAGCATTTTCTGTTTCTTGCAGAAGAATATACATGGCCTAGCTACAATTAAACTGAATGATTTTGCAGGCAAGTGTGCTATGCAGTTTCACATGTGGCATTTGTGCACATAAAGTGACGTGTCATGTGTGAGTTGCAGATCTTTTTCGAAGTACAGCTGTATTACTAAAACTGGCACCACATGACTCTTTTCACATTGCATGGGCCAAAATCTAGCAAAAGGAGAATTTATTAGAAATACAAGGAAAACTGCCAAGATATTTTTAGACCGTAGAATATTTGGTAGTGTTCTGAAGTCCCTTGTAAAGTCACTTAATCAAAACGCAAAATGCATTAGCGTACGTCAGTAAGGACAGGCCTCAGCCTCAGCAGACAGGGACTTATTTTCCATCTCTCATTTCTGTGAATCTGGTGAAAAGTAATTATTCCCTCTGTACTTTCTGTATAGGGATGTGGAAAGACCTAGTTGCGTGATGAAAACCATCTGCGGGCCATCAAAATAATATATTCACTAAAGCATCTATGGTAACTGGACTGGGCAGACATCAGCCTATTTTGCATCAAACTGGCTGCCCAAAATAATATAGGTGGTTTATTAGATCTTTCTCTCCAGAGTTCTTATACCAAGGTTCAGCCAGTGTGCACCTGCAAGGTGCCCTCTTTAGAAAGGACTTGATTCATAGGAAGGTTCAGCTCTGTTTCTGAACTTGAAATAAATTATTTAAAAGAGGAAACATTCTGAATTGATAAAATAAAATCCTTCCTCAAAGAAAGGTGCGGAAACTTCCAGCAGTATTTAGCTTTGGTAGAAATAGGGTCAGGTAAGCATACTGATATAGAAGATAGTCCCCCTGCTATCAGTATTTCTGCGGCAACATGGGCACTCTGCTCTGGGGAAAATGCCTTTATGTCAGGAAAGGTTTCAGACCACAGATCTCAGGAAAAGGAGATTTCAATGTAAATCTCTATGAAAGGCCCTACGGGTTATGAAGTTTGAAGATCATGGCTGCTACTTTCATTGGGGTTTGAAGGAGAGGGATTTCTCTTCCAGGACTAAGGGAGATGTTAGTCCAGAAGGGACCTAAAAACAGGCCTTATGACAGCCACATTTCTTTGTAGGCGTTTCCAGAAGAGATGGAGTGAAATTACTATATTGTGTGTTCACTTTCTGGACTTTCCAAAGGAAAGGAGAAATATCTTCCTCTCTCCCCTTTAGTTTTCCTGCAGGGAGCTCATCAGAAAGACAGCATTGGGCACACCCACAGTGGAGAACTGTCTGTGTGGACTACTTCTGTGGGAGCCAGCTGCGTTTCTGTAGTATTAGAGCTACATCTTCACAGCACTGTACCTATGATTTGGACTTACCAGCTTAGGGATTCAGTTCTATAGTACGTTTTGAGGAAGCCGATGTAGCTAGCTGGTGACAACCTTGGGAAAGCTACAGTAGGACTGTCCCCTACTTCTTCCCCTAGGAATCAAAGATCACAGTAGAGAGGACTGGTTATAGCAGAGGGAGATCTGAGCCTATATTGTTCCATTAAAATGTATCTTTTTGTTTGTAAATTCCATGTATGCATTTTGTTCTCAGAAATTTGAAGAAAGTCAAGGAAGAACCAACAGTAAAACAGCCTTTTATCAGGCTCTGCAAAATTCTCTAGGAGGAGAAGACTCCAACTTGTTAATTGAAGACGCAGCTGTGTGGTATTACTCCCTTGAACACTCAACTGATGATTATTCATCCTTTTCCAGGGCTTTGGAAAATGCCACCCGGTAAGAAACTCATCCTGTTACGGCTGTGTGATTAGGGTTAAGCAAGGTTTGCTTTGCTTATCTCAAGTGTGCATTTATATTCTGGAAAACTTGGGAAATTCTCATTAAAATGAATAGAAAATGGAGAATATTATTTCATTTTCCATGAGGTTTCCAATGTCATTGGTAAACAGAAGTGGAACTGACTTTTATACCTTGTGAAAAGTTTGAATTGTCTTACCTGCACTGTATAGTGGATTTAGACTACTAATGCTTCTTTATATACTCTTTCATGTCAAAGGTGTCTTGGTTGTTTGCACACATTCATAGTCGCTTATTATACAGTTAGATACTTTTCCTAGTTTTTTGAATTTTGGAGACTGGTCAAATTTGAAAACTTTAAATTCAGCATTTACATTAATGTGTATATTAGGAAACCTGCAAAATTAATTTCTTCACAACGTCAGTCTTTCTCCAGGTGAATATACTGTGTAAAATGGAGAAGCATTTTTGAAAAGTGGCTCCCAACCTCATTCTGTGCATTGCTGATCTCCATTTTACTCATAGCAGAAGAATCCCCTTAAGCTTACTTATGTATTTCCTTGACCCTTGTGTAATCCTTTATGCCAGTGTACAGTGATTGTATAATGTCAACCAATCCACATTTTGGGTATGGTTTTCCATGGTGAGAGAAAGCAGAATCATGCAGTAGGATGCTTCTGTGGGAAGTCCTCTTGTGGAGCTGAAAGGAGATCACATGATATCTGACTTGCCTTGTTTGATCCATCTGGACACGCCATGGACTCAAGGCACCTCCCAGCCTCTTCTGAAGGAAATAGTTGTCATGAAATCTCAGCAAATGTGTGAGCAACTCTCCTATAGTATACACACTTCCATAGTTTGCATTGAAACATCGCAGGCAGGGAAGATGAGCCATGTTCACACCTTCTGGTATATATGCATAGCTTTGACTCTTGGATATAGCATCAAGGTCCAGCAGCTCTGGATAACAGCCAGTTTGAAGAGTTCATTGCCCTGTTGGACTATGGCTCCATGGCCATTATGACACCTATGGTAGGCCATGAAGACTAGTGGATATCTTTAGCTTGGGTCACTTGGTGGTTTGGTCTGCAGAGAAGGCTGTACATTTTGCTCATCGGTTTGCTGTAGCCAGTTAAAGATTTTGAGCTGTGGCAGGGTGGGCCCATTTTTCTGAAAAGAGGAAAACTGAAGGGAAGTCTCCTAACTTCCTTTTTCCTGCCTCTGTGCAAACTTGAGGGCTGAATGTTTAACTGGAACACATTTTCAGAAAGTAAATGAAAAAGCTCTTTCCCATTCCTGTCTCTGCTTCTGACAAGATTTGTTATGAAAACTTTTTATGTTTCTAAGGCGATATGTTTTATAAGCTGTTGGTCTGAGTCCTAGTGTACCTGCTCAAGCTGTTTTACCTCTGTTTTGAACTGAGACATAGCTACAAGCTCTTACTATCTGCACTCTCAGCATTACCACTTTCTGTCCCACTGCGAGCCTTTACATGAGACTCTAAGGACAAGGTTTTCCTTTCAGTAGGTATTCATCCTCCATCAGAAGTGCAAGGCATTGCTCCAGGGGATCCTCAGGAAGCAGGAAATGAACAGGAGCCAAGATTCACTTAGAAACATCTGATCCAAGACAGCAGTGACCAAGTCTGTTTGAGGAGGTTTTCTGGGTGGTCCAGGTGTGCCAGTGCATTAAGGTCATGGAGTAAACAAGCCATAAGGCTGCGGGTTGAGCTTTGTGCTATTTATTAAGTCTCATACTGTGCCACGTTTGCCTTGTCCTGTTGCCTGTCCCTGGGACACTGCAGCACTGGGGCCACTGCATGCAGCACATGTGGAAGTGCTGTGGTTCATGGCCATTAAAGCCAGAACTTTTCTTCAATCTCTTTCCACCACCACCATTACCCATGGTGCTACAGGTTTTTTAGTCAGATCAGTAAGGTTTTAAGCCATAATAAAACACCAAAGGACTTAAATTGTAACCCTTCTTCCCACTCAGATATACTTCCTTAAGGAGCTGTTTTAACGCAGGTCTGTTGCACTTTATCACCCAGGGCTCAGCATGGTACAAACAGTGACTTTTGCAAAACCACGATGGCTATCGCACCGCTCACTCACAGCAGGAAGGCGATACAGAAACGGCTCCTCTGGCTCTCAGCCTTTGAGCACCCTACAGCAGCCCCACGGGCGCAGGGATTACCTCCTTGTTTAGGGCTCGAGATAAATGACTTGGCTAGGGA